TACGACACCACGACACTCAACGACACTTTATGCACTCTACGACACTCTACGACACTCTACAACACTGTATTGTACTCTATGACACTCTACAACACTCTACGACACTCTACAAAAATGTACTCTACTCTACTCCACTCTACTCCAGTCTACTCTACTCTACATTACTCTTCTCTACTGTACTATACTCTACTCTACTCGTAGAGACTTTATGACATTGTACTTTACTCTACTCTACTCTACTCTACTCCACTCTATTCTACTCTACTCTACTCTACGACACTCTACGACACTCTATAACACTCTACTCTATGACACTCGACTCTACTGTACTCTACTCTACTCTAGGACACTCTACTCTACTTTGCTCTACGACTCTCTACTCTACTATAATCTACTCTACTCTATTCTACTCTACTCTACTCTACTCCAATCTACTCTACTCTACTCTACAACACTCTACGACTACTCTACTCTACTCTACTCTACTCTACTCTACTCTACTCTACTCTACTCTACTCTACTCTACTCTACAACACTCTTTTGTACTCTATGACACTCTACTACACTCTACTACACTCTACAACACTCTACTAAACTCTACTCTGCACTACTCTACTAAACTCTACGAAACTCTACTCTACTAAACTCTATGAAACTCTACACTACTAAACTCTACGACACTATATGACGCTCTACTCTACTCCACTTTACTCTACTTTACTCTACTCTACCCTCTCTACTCTACTCTACTCTACTTTACGCTATTACACTCTGCTCTACTACACGCTACTCTACCACACTCTATTCTACCATACTTTACTCTACTGTACTCGACGACACTCTTCTCTACTCTACTCTACGACACTCTACTTCAGTCTACTTCACTTTACTTTACTCTACTCTACCCACTCTACTTTACTCTACTCTACTGTACCACACTCTACTACACTCTACTCGAAAACACTCTACAACACTCTACTCTACTCTACTCTATTCTTTGACACTCTCCGACAATCTACCCTACTCTACAACACTCTACTCTACTCTACGACACTTTGTACTCTACGACACTCTACTCTACTCTACGACACTCTATTCTACTCTACGACACTCTAGGACACTCTACTCTACTCTATGACACTATACTCTACTCTACTCTATGATATCCTACTCTACTCTAAGACACTCTATGACACTTTACTCTACTCTTCTCTACCCTACGACACTCTATTCGACTGTACGACAGTCTACTCTTCTCTACTTCACAACACTTTACTCTATGACACTCTACTCTACAGCACTCTACAGTACATACTCTTCCCTATTCTACGACACTTTTTTCTACGATGCTATAATGACCCGCCATAACACAGACTGAGAACACTGCTGATTTATGAAGTTCTGCCAATGGAATGGATGCCTTGCTAAGATTCCCGCATTCTGATGAGTTTCTAAGTCTGTATGTGTGCGTGCTTATTGACCTGCGTGCTTGTCTGAGTGGTTGTTGGCATGAGTGTGTGTGTGACCCGCAAGGGTACTTGCTTGTTTGGGCGGCCCATAGGGCCGGTACTTACCTGTGGCCGTGATATTGAGGGTTGCAGAAGGGAAAACACTCGAGTAGCGGAGCGAGGGGCCCGTGGTACTTGGAGCAGCGGAAAACCACTCAAGTGGCAGGCAGGCGGTACTGCACCCAGTAGCAGTAGATATACCGGGTACTCGAGGCTGAGCAGAAGAAGACAAAGTTGCCATTTTTAGAGGCCTGTAGGGGTAGGCTAGGTCTAGGCCGATACCAGTCCATGCGGTCTGAGTCTAGAGCCTGTACGAGCAGTATCAGAGTCTGCAATGATGTTTCCCTCCGAAAGGGAGGAGGTACTGGTTGCTTGGGAGGCCGAGTGACCTGGAAGTCACTGCCCAGGAGGCAAGTAGGCCGCTATATCAAGAGGTCGAGGGAAGAGCCCGACCTCATTCTTCAGTGTGCAAGTTTGGCGACACGCTGTTGGAGCGCTGGCTGGAGGAGCGTTGGCTACTACAACACTGTTCGGAGGAAGAAGCCAGGAGCTTCCACCTTGGCTATAGTGGAGCTCTACCGGTAGGAGGAGGAGGGAGAAGTGGACTAAGGAGGAGAGTGGCGAGGTACCTACCTGGCTATGGTGGACACCATCTTCATCACCTTGATAGGCACGACATCTGGAAGGCCCCAGTTGGGGTAGTGCCGCACCAAGGAAGCTCGGGGCAGAGATAGGCATGACGGCCTAATGAGCAGCGACATAGCTGCTTTGCGTTGTCCTTTGCACAAGAAAGCAGCGGCATAGCTACTTTGGGTTGTCCTTTGGACAGGAGGGTTGAACCCTCATTAGTCCGCCATAGCCCCAACCTACATGTGAGAGGAAGGAGAAAGGTAGTCATGGCTATGGTGGACCTCATGTTGTGCCTGCAGTAGAAGAGGGATTCGGACATTGATTCTGGTTCAGACATTCAACATTATAATTGTTATTTCTTGTTTGAATAAGAGGGGAGGAGATAAGGAGGAGGAGATTGGTTGGCGAAAAGAAAAGCATTATCATTGGTCTATGCTGGCGTACATCATCTTTTTATTTTTTCTTACTTCTTCTTCTTCTTCTTTCCCTCTCTCTCCTCTCAAGTTTATTCATTTCTTTTCGTAACAACACTCTACTCTGCTCTACTTTACTCTATGACAGTCTACTCTACGACATCTACGCTACTCCGCTCCACAACACTCTACTCTACGACACTGTACTCTACGACATTCTACTTTACTCTTCTTTACTCTATGACACTCTACTCTACTCTATGACACTTTACTCTACTCTGTGACACTCTACTATAATCTACAACACTCTACAACACTCTACAACACTCTACAACACTCTACAACACTTTACTGTACTCCACTCCAGTCTACTCTACTCTATGACACTCTACGACACTCTACTATAATCTACGACACTCTATGACACTCTAGTGTACACCACTCCACTCTACACTACTCTACTCTACTGTACTCTAC